TGATGCACTCGCAGATGCGCTGGCCGATGTGCCGCTTGATCTACCACCACCAAGGATGGCATGTCGCAACCTAGAAAGTTCTTTCCACTTCCCAGTATTGGACTTTGTTTGCTCTGCGTGACCCTTACCCTTATCTCCACCAGCCATCTGCAAAGAAGAGTAATTAATTAGTAAAACAGTTAATAATATGAATACAACAATATATTTGTTCAACCACCTTTTGTATTAAAGTCTATTTTATGATAATTCATCATCGGACATGAACACATTTTCGCTAGAGCTCTCATCAGTAGTAATTAATATCTCAACATCATCACTTTCATAGAGATCAATTAACTGTGGAATTTCTGCAAGTAGTGGAGCTTCATCGTGCGGTTCAACTTCAACAATTTCGACTGCCACTCTTGCGTCTTCTTAGTACGCAAAATCGTCAGTACTCTTGAGCTTTTGTGTATCAGATGTGGTTTCAACCCAGCCACGTGGTTTTACATCACAAACAGCTAACCATTCTCCTTTTGCCCTACTAGCTACTCCAGGATACTCTACGTAGGCCACCTGCTTAGCTTGTGTTGCAAGGATGAATGGTTCATATTTGCGGAATATCCCACTTTTTAAAACCTCAACCAAGTCATATTTGTCGTGCACTCTAGTTCCAACTCTAGGTCGTGGATCATACCACTTGCATTTGAATACAACACAACGCTTTATTGGTAAAGCAGGATACTCAACCTCGATAATTTCTTCTACACGACCATAGTAAGAACAATGCTCTCCAACAATAGACACACCGCTGTTAAACGTGGCACGTTTGGCACCGTGAGTCTCAATGTGAAAGCGATAACCATTGACATAACAAATTGGATATGTGCTGACGACGGGTAGAGGTCCCCTTGATACATCACGAATAACTTGCGGTGTATCAACAATTTCCCAAGCCTGAAAGTAGTACAAATGATGAATAACTTGAGGTGTCTCATTATTATAAGTAAAGGACCGAATTAAGTTGTTAACTGAATTAAGGCTATGATATATATACATGTTTTTCAAACCATGATGCAAAACTTTCTTCCATTTGCAACAGTAAAGCCTCATCAGTAATGTCAGGATTTGAGTCACGTAATGAATCGACATATTTCCTGCAATGAACAACATCATATGCCTTAAGTGTACACTCGCGGAATGGTTTACTAGAAATAGAAAAAATTAGAGACATACTCAATGAATGNGACTTACCCGGAACTATCGCACACAAGAATATGTGTTCCTCTTTCATGCACATATTGGGCGGGAGATTGTAAGGAGTGACCATTACTGGCCAACAGGAGTATTGAGAACCCGATTGGCCGAAAGGTTGAAAACCATCTGTGCAGAGACCCAACCTTACATTTCGAACTTCAGAAGCAAATGTTGGATTAGAAAGGTTGAATTGCTTCCAGGCCTCAGAATCGCAAGGATGACACATATCTCCAACACTATCGTGACTGTGCTCCGCATGCCAACGCATGGACTCCGCTGTTCTCTTTGACATGTACAATCTCTTTAACCTCGGTGTTAGGGGAAAATAGAACATGTATCTATTTGGTATCTTTTTTATAGAGTCTTTGTAACGAGGCTTTTCACAAATTTTACATGTAGCTAGCTCAGCATCTGGGCCCCAAAAAATCATGCAACCTTGGACACAACAATGAATTTTCTCCACTGGTAGTCCTAAACCTTCAATGAGTTTTTTTGTCTCATAAAAATCTGAAACCATTTAATTGTCCTCCGGAAGTCCGTCTTTGAACAGTTGGCAAATAGTGTCGTAACACCTCTCAGACAAATTGTGCTCTGCCTTAATATTGAGTAATCTTGCAACCATCGAGAGTTGGGACATTTTAGTGCAACCTTTCCATAAGTCAGTATCAGCGGGTTTTAGCATGTCAAAAAAATTTTTGTCACTAGCATTTGGTTCCTCCTCAACTGGAACGTTAGGATTAAAGGAAGGCCCCATAGCATCAATCACCATATTCATGTATTCTGCCCTTTCGGTTTCAACAAAGGTACGAGCAGATTTACGGCGCCGATGATGGCTCGTATAATCACCATGTTCCTCCCCGTGGCAAACCCAATCAAGATATTTAGGAGTGAAACCTTGTCTCATTACATGAAGCTTATTGTCCTCGATATCTTTAAAATATTTATTCTTACAAATCTTACAAGGACAACGCATCTGCTCGTTGAATCTGTCTACTTTTGGATTTGACTCACAAAACTCAATGAATTGTCTAACTTTGTCAACCCAATCTGTATTTATAAAACCTGAGCTATCAAGTCTTTTATACATCCAATCTCAATTTTCGTGAAAGTCACTCATTCTGAGAAATTCAAAAAAATAAAATTGACATACTATTAAGTTATAGAATTCATTACAAAAAACTAAAAAAATAAATATAAAAGCACAAGAACTACAATATTCAAAAAAATACATAATACGTACATAATCCTCATCTAGCATCTACAATATCTAAAATATGTTATTAATAAGCATAATATTCATTCACTAAAAGTTTCAAGCATATAATTAAGTTTTTTTTAAAAAAAA